GGAACTACAGTAACTCCTCACTTAGAGTGTGTCTAGAATGCAGGGTTTTTCTGAAAAAACTTCACTTATGTCCACACTGCTATTACATTCTTTTGAAAGAACGTAGGGGTTTTTCCAGCATTGGTAAACCTCATTCTGTGAGAGAGCTTGTTTTGAAAGGGCTCTTTCAGAAAAAGGCTTGTGTGGACGTGGAAGAGGGAATTTTTTCAAAAGAAGAGGCCTCCACGAAAAAGCACAGATATCCTGGTAGCCACTCCGTCCATAGTAATCACAGCTTAAATATGAGGTAGCATCCATTCAGTGTGGACGCTATCTTTCAAAAACACAGATCACTTTTTCAATGCACTTTGGCAGTGTGGACGCTCTCTTTCAGAAGAAGGTTTTTCAGAAGGTCACTTCCGAAAAAGCTTCTTCTGAAAGAAGCCTGCAGTCGAGCCGTACTCTTAATGTTGTATGGGTTCAGGTTGTTTCATTGTTATGTTGCTTATCTATTAGAGCACTGAAACATCATTTGGTCTTCTGCTTTGTCCATTACTTGCAGGATTTTCTGGAAAAGCAGGATGTCCTTGTGGGGACTTGGAAATGGGATGGGCCAACAGCCCCTGCATTAACTCCCCTAAATTCCCTGTAAAGTACTGTATGCTGCTGGGCAGCTGCCAACAACACTTCTGTTGTCCAACCCCCCTCTGTGGACGCACTGCTCCTGCCTTCTCCCTTATAGCTGCTCCTGGGAGCCTCCTACTTGCTGCATGGAGGGGAGAGAGAGGTGTGCAGATGTAAGGATGGCCCTCCTTATCCCCGAATGAGTTCCCCACTGTGTACCCCAACCCCACAAAGCAGGTTACAAAAAAGTAAAAAACTATAGATCCCTGAGTCTGAATTTCCTGATATACAGTACTTAAAAGGGCAGTGTGCTTGATGTAGGGTCAGCATACTTAAATGGGCAATGCACATCTCTGCTCCCTTCTTTCACGCACATACACACCCACTCACGCACATGCACGAACACACACACTATGTGCATCTGTCTGTCTCTCACACACGCTGTGTGCATGTCTCTGTACACCCCTTGGCACTGTACAGCTGCATATGCACCATCCAGAGGAGAGAGTGGTGCATTCCAGCAGGATAGTTTGGATTCATCATCATGTTCTGTTTGTGCGGGGAAGTGTTTGCAGCCACTGCCATGTGTGTGTTGTGCTTTCTTCCTCCTGCCTCAGTCTATGCTGCCTGGTAGAGTATGAGGCTACATTAATCACAATACATTAACCCTGAAGGTCTCAGCCAACTGCTAGTTCATCATTTAATAACAAGACATTCCCTGGGAAATATTACACCCCCTGACTCCATGATCTCAACCAAGCTTCACAATCCTCACTGTTTAAAACTTATACTGGATATGTATATACTTTCTTTTATCTGATGAAAAAATTCCCTAGAACCTACCTCCCTACTCCCATTTATATTAATTCTTATGGGGAAATTAGATTTGCTCAACATCGTTTCATTTAAAGTAGCATTTTTGGGAACATAACTACAACATTAAGCGAGGAGTTACTGTGCACTTGGAGTAAGGTGTATTACTCAATATATGCAAATATATTAGACTATAGTCCATTATAAGAACTTACTGCACATTTAGGCTATGTCTACACAGCAGTGTTATTTCGTAATTACTGAGGTTATTCCAAAATTACATAGTCCGCGTTCACACAACAAGCAGTTATTTCAACATGTCGACATAATGTCGAGCTGGAAGACTTCTTACTCCGACTCCTGTAACCCTCATTGTACAAGGAGTAAGGGAAATTGGAGGAAGACAGTGCCAAAAGCCGAAGTAAGCTATTTCTACTTAAACTATGCAATTGAAGTAACTCAAGTTGCATAGCTTATTTCAGCTTTAGCCCTGCTGTGTAGATGTGCTCCTAGAGTATACCTTTATAATGACATATGATTTCCCTGTCATCTCCTAATTCTGATAGACATGACCAAACTGCATCTCACCATAGAGGCAAACAATTTGCTTCCAGAGAGTGTCTATGCTTGGGGGTTCAGCTGTCTTTTTCAATAGGCTTTTATATAGCTGCCCAGTGAAATTTCCTGGTAGATACCCTGGTGGGCTTTGGGGGGAAGGGAAGGACTTAGCTCTAGTAATCCTACTGAATTTGGATCCCTAAGGCCTATTCCATTTAGGAAACAAGCTGGAACAGGGAGATATAATTTACACACATCGAAGAACACGCTTAAGAGAATCTGGTCCAATGTTTATACTCTGCAGGGTTTTATGCTTAGCCCCCAAAGTGCTTATCAACATTAAAGAAGTAATATTTTGTATGAATATACCTATATGAACATATGAGGCTGAAGATTAGAAATCCCTTTGAAGACAGCTTATGTGCCTCCTGTGGTGTGAATAAAAATAAAAATCTGATGGTGTAATAAGGTTTATTAATATTAATAATAATAATACAATTGAATTTACTTGTGTTAAAGACATTCATGGCTAACTTTAAAATCAGTTTCCTTATGAGTTGCTGTTACTTATTAGAAGATGATGTCTTATTCCTCTGAGCATTTTAATTCTGTTTTGTTTGTGTACTATGTCAGAAGAATGAAAGTATGAGAGATAAGAAATTATTTTCTTCACTCAAACATTTCCTTTATAACACAGAAGGTGAAAATGATAGTATTAAGAAATACTGCAATTTAATAAAACCTAAATTCACCAACACAGAAATCAGTGTATTAAACTGTGAAAGATAGAATCACTTTAGTGTGTGCAACCAAACATTACTCTTGTAGCTGTCTTCAACATAGGTACAACAATATAATCAGAGACAAATTCAGACTTCTTAGATTCTACTGACTATAATGGATTTGCAGATTAAAAACCATCTACCTTAAAATACAATAGATGAGGCAGGCATACCAGAAGGCAAAGGATGCCAACCATCACTCTGATGTACCACTGAAAACATGTTACTTCCACAAGAAGTTGAGCACCATTCTCAGTGGTGACCCCACTTCTACCACCAAGAGACCCATGAATACTTCAGGGGGATTCGAGGCAACAGCCAGCAGTCAACCCCAGAGGTGAGGTAGGAGATGAGGCAGTCAAATTGGAGGAAGATGTGGGACAGGCAACAGACTCATCTGGTGGCAGGACAAGCCAGGATCTCTTTTTTACCCTGAAGATCAGGGATCTCCAGAATGCACCCATTTTGCTTTGATACACTGTAACAAGAGGCAGACGTGTCCTTTATTTTGTAATATGGTGCACATTGTGAAAAGGGATTGAAATTAACATCTGCATTTCCTTCACATTCCGCCTATGCAACTGCACAGTGGGGGCCCCAAAGAAAAGTTTGTTGATGCATACTGAAATCTCTTGGGAATCCTCCACAGAGCTCTCTAGGGGTATGTCTACACTACCCTCCTATTTTGAAATAGGAGGGTAATGTAGGCATACCGCAATTGCAAATGAAGCCTGGGATTTGAATTTCCCGGGCTTCATTTGCATAAGCGGGGCGCCGCCATTTTTAAATCCCGGCTGGTTCGAACGTGACGCGTGTAGCCGCGCGGCACGGGGTTCGAACCAGCCGGGATTTTAAAATGGCGGCACCCGGCTTATGCAAATGAAGCCCGGAAATTCAAATCCCGGGCTTCATTTGCAATTGCGGTATGCCTACATAACCCCGCTAGTTCGAAATAGCGGGGTAGTGTAGACATACCCTAGGAAACTTTCCTGCAGATACTCTGCATCCCCTACTTAAAGTTTCTTGATAGAGCTGTTTTGTTTCTTCCTCCATTGTATGGAGCTTTGTTGCACCAATCAGCAGTTACTTCTGGACAAATCAAAGCAACACACAGGCAAGTAGACTATGGATCCACTCTGAAGGATGCAGGAGATATCCCCAGGCATCATCAGTTACCTTCATTAAACAAGGAGGAGTAAGAAGGACATGTTTTGTGAAGTGCTATAATCATCAGATTAGACTGGTATCAACCACTGAGCATGGAGAGAGACAATAAAGGAAAAACTAGACATGGAAAGCTGGGAGAAAAGACAGGGTCAGGAGCAGATGATAGAGGGTCAAGAGTGAATAATAAAGTTCCTGGAGAATCAAACAGAGATCCAGAGCCCCTTAATTGCACTGCAGATGGAACATATGTGCTCAACTCCCCTGGAAGCCCATACAGAACTGCCTTCCTTGCCCTTTCCAAGGGTATGTCTACACTACCCTCCTAGTTCGAACTAGGAGGGTAATGTAGGCCTACCGCACTTGCAAATGAAGCCCGGGATTTGAATTTCCCGGGCTTCATTTGCATAAGCGGGGAGCCGCCATTTTTAAAACCCCGCTGGTTCGAACCCCGTGCAGCGCGGCTACACGGGGCACGAACTAGGTAGACATACCCTAAATTCCACCACCCATTTTCCTCTCATATTCCTGGCCAGCTGCTCCAGGCCCTAGGGACATTTTCCATAACAACAGTTTGGACATATGTACTTATGAGATCCTCCTTTGAGAGGATCCCTATCACTTTCCTGATATGCTCACTATCATGTCCCTTGTAAGAAATGTTACTCTGTGTTTTGCTATTTAATAAAAAATTAGGCTGACAAAGACATTGATTCTTTGTAATCTAGACAGGGTGGTTGCAACAGAAATTCATGCATAGTGGCAATTGGCACATTTGCAAACTACAATTATCAGGCAGGAATCATTCCAGCAGTCACTTAACACAGGAAGTAAACAATGTCTGGTTCAATTTATTACATTTGACAGATTGTCAAAATGCTGCTTCAAAGCCTCCCTTATTCAAAGCCTCCTCTTAAATCCCTCTAATAGTCCTGGTGTTTGGCTGTTCAAAATGGACACACCACCTCTTGGGAAACTTTTTTGCTTTGGCTTTATAAACGTTATGCAGAACACAGGAGGCTGCTCTGACCATGAGAATATTTTCCTCACTGAGGTCTAACTTGTCAAAAAAGGTAGCACCAACAACACTCGAATGACTGCATCCCTCATGGTGGAGTTTCCAACTTGAAATTGATTTGCCACTGACTGGTAGCTGGCTGGTCCCCTATTTGCATCCCTGTCTGATCCCTCCACACAGTGCTTCTTTCCCAAACCCAATAGTGACGGTCCACCATACACGGATACTCTGCGGACATCAACATCCATCTTGAACTGTTTCTTCCTATGGCACAAAGCAGTGAATACACCAGGGATTCCTGTTCAAACATGCTGATCACAAAATACTGTAGGGTCAGACACACTGTGTTCATAACATTTATCACTAGACAGGTAAGTAGAGCAGGATCCATGCTTTCAGGAGGAGATGGTGGGCACAAAGTACAAGAGACAGTTGAAAAATGGCACCAACAATAGTCATAATCTCTTGGAATTATAAAACAGAGAAAACTGTGCTCCCACTCCCCATGGTGCACTGCAGTCCATTTCCAGGACTCCTACCAAGAGAAAGTGATGATTTGCACCCATGGTGCACTGCTATCTCTGCCAGTGATGGAGCACCAAATGTGGGCGTGCTCTGGTGACACAAGGAGCATTGTGTGAACATGCACAAGGGATGTAATTATAGCAGTTTATGATCACTGATGTAACTTAAAGTCAACTTAACTCAGTAGAGCAGACATGGCTTAATATAATGATCACACATACTTTAGCCCAATCCTGTATGAACATAAAGGCATATGAAACATTACTCACTGTGATAGTCCCACTGAAGTCAACAGACCTAATCAAAGTCCATATTTATTTGCAGTTTTTATGTTAGTTGTATTAATAGGCGTGTTGAAAGCTAGAGACAAGAAGAAATTCTCTATTCTGTGCTGATTAGGCCTCAAATGGAGTATTGTGTCCAGTTCTGGGTGCCACATTTCAGGAAGCATGTTAACAAATTGGAGAAGGTCCAGAGAGAAGCAACAAACATTATTAAAGGTCTAGAAAACATGACCTTTGAGGGAAGACTGAAAGAATTGGGTTTGTTTAGTCTAGAAAAGAGAAGACTGAAAGGGGACATCATTACATCAAGTGTAAAATGTTGTTACAAATAAGAGGGAAAAAATATTCTTAACTTCTGATGATAGGACAAGAAACAATGGGCTTAAATTGCAACAAAGTTGGAGGTTTAGGTTGGCCATTAAGAAAAACATAATGGATGGTTAAACTATCAGGGTATGTCTACACTACCACCCTAGTTCGAACTAGGGTGGTAGTGTAGACATACCCTGATATAAATTGCCCAGGAAAGTTGTGGAATCTCCATCATTGAACATATTTAAGAGCAGGTTAGACAGACATCTTTTAGAGGTGGTCTAGATGGTCCTGAGTCCTGCCATAAGTGCAAGAGTCTGGACTTGATGACCTCTTGAGTCTCCTTCCAATTCTACAATTCTATGATTCTAGAATTCATTGTTAGAAGCAAATCCTGACCTTTGGTGCCTGCCCTTGAAACTATGGAAATCACAAGCTAATGTACAAGAAACTAGGAAAATAAAAATTGCCATACTAGATCATACCATCTAGTCGAGTACTCTGACTCCTAAACTGGACAGTAATCATCTGCTTCATGAGAAGATTAAAGAAAGCTTACAAAACACAGCTGTGAGATAGCATGTACACAAAGAAAGTTTATTTTATACTCTTAATACTGTAGTTAGTGGTTGGTTTATGCCTTGGAGCATGAGAATTTATAGCACACCTGAAACTCCTGGTTATTTTTCATTTCTTGCTATAACTTTTGATAATCATGTTTCCCATATAAATATCTTACCCCTTTAAAAAATTCTGAGAAATAATTGGCCTTAATTATATATTGTGGCAATTAGTTCTCCAGACTGTGTTTTGTCTGGAAAAGAATGTCCTTTTATTGGGTTTAAATTACACTTTCAATTTCATTGACTGTCTCCTTCTTATATTACGATTAAGGATTAATTGAAGCTTCCAAAGAAGATTCTCTATACCATTCATTAATTTTGTGTATCTTTATCATGTTCCCTTGTATTCACCTCTTTCAATCTTTTCTATCTTTTTTCATATGTGAGTTTTTCCAGGTTTTAATCAGGTTTAAATTTGTCACTTTACTTCCTGTATTTCTGCTATAACTTTTTGAGATACATGAGCAGTTTGGAACAGAATAGTGCGTTCTTACTTACAATAATGATTTCCAGAAAGGCTTTTTGTCTCTAACCTTAACTCCCAGTTCACAGAGAAATCATTGAACAAAATGAAAAACCATTACCAAAACAACTAAATTATGCCCATTAACAAAACACTCACAATAACTAAAATGTAACTCCAAAAACTTAAAAAACAACATTCTGGTAGCACTTTAAAGACTAACAAAACATGTAGTTTTATCATGAGCTTTCATGGACACAGCATACTTCTTCAGATGACCAGAGCATTGGAACTCCAGAACCAAGAATAAATAATGGAAAGAGGGAGGAGAGGAGAGGGAAAAAGTTGGAGTGGGAGGGAGAGGACATTGGGTAGATATGTTTCAAAGGGTTAGTCGAGACAGTCTAGAGAAGGAAAAACTTAAAATAAGTAGTCTATTAGCATCTTAAAGACTAAATAGTTAAAAGAGGCAGATAAGAACCATTTGCTTTAGGAAAGAAAGAGTACTAACACCAGATTCTACACAGACATCAAGAACCATTGGCATCTTCATTGTTTGATTGGTTGATAATGTGTGAGCCAACCAGACTATTTGTTGTTTTTTAAGTTTTTCCGTGTTACAGACTAACTTGGCTACACCTCTGAAATTTTTAAAGTGTAACTGACAGTATCTACTCATCACAGTTTTTCCCCCCTCAGAGTTATACTTAAAAGCTTTGATCACAAATTAGCACTTCTAAAAAAATTGCTAAAGTAGTTTTTGTGCTTTTCAAGACATGATACACTTAAAATTCAAAACATGGCAAGTCTAGTTTGGTCTGCTTGTTCAAACACAGGAAAAATCAGTGAGGCATTGGTCTAAAAAAAGACCATGGCTACATCTATACTGGCATGATTTTCGAGAAATGCTTTTAACGGAAAAGTTTTCCTTTAAAAGCATTTTTGGAAAAGCGTGTCTAGATTGGCAGGACGCTTTTCCGCAAAAGCACTTTTTGCGGAAAAGCGTCCGTGCCAATCTAGACGCGCTGTTCCGCAAAAAAGCCACCATCGCCATTGTCGTGATCAGTGTTTTTTTGCGGAAAACAGTACTGTGCTGTTTACACTGGCCCTCTTGCACAAATGATTTGCGCAAGAGGGCTTTTGCCCGAACGGGAGCAGCACAGTATTTCCGCAAAAACACTGACGATCTTATATGAGATCGTCAGTGTTCTTGTGGAAATTCAAGCAGCCAGTGTAGACAGCTGGCAAGTTTTTCTGCAAAAGCATATGATTTTGCGGAAAAACTTGCCAGTCTAGACACAGCCCATAGATTTTAGATATATCCCTTTCATAGGTGTATGCAAAGATAGGGTATGTCTACACTACAAAGTTAGTTCGAACTAACGGACGTTAGTTCGAACTAACTTTCATAGGCGCTACACTAGCACTCCGTTAGTTCGAATTTAATTCGAACTAACGGAGCGCTTAGTTCGAACTAGGAAAACCTCATTTTAGGAGGATTAACCCTAGTTCGAACTAGCTAGTTCGAATTAAGGGGTGTGTAGACCCTTAATATGAACTAGCGGCAGGATAGCCCTCCCCAGGTTTCCCTGGTGGCCACTCTGGCCAACACCAGGGAAACTCTTCTGCCCCCCTCCCGGCCCTGGACCCCTTAAAGGGGCACAGGCTGGCTACGGTGCCCGTGCCAGGTGCAAGCCTACCAGCACTCAGCTAGCAGACCCTGCACCTGGCACGGCTCAAGCCAGCCACCCGATGCCCCCCCGCTCTCCCCCTCTTCCCAGGACCAGGCTGGCGGCTGCCGGGG